CTCTCTCTCTCTCTCTCTCTCGCACCTTGTGCATCGGGGTGCCCCAGAAGTCATTGTAGAAAACATTCTTGAGGGGCGTGTGGGGCCTGAGGTCGCGGTTGTCCTTGATCGCCGAGATGTCGTCGAAGACGAAGCCGCAGCCGAGGCTGTTGAGGTACACGGCGAGCGCGGTTATCGCCACGATCGCCGCGAGTGCTCCCCGCGCAGGCACTCCCATTACAAATAAAACATCGATCGGCCGGTCGCCTTTCGTTTCTTTCTCGCGCAAATCAACCGCGGGCACCGTCGGAGCAAACGGAAGGAAGAACGTTCTCCCTTTCGCCTCTCTTACTACCGTCTTCTATCTCTCTCTCTCTCTCTCTCTCTCTCTCTCTCTCTCTCTCTCTCTCTATCTGACGCTTTCGCAGGTGCTCTCAACCGTAGGAACTCCACGAGGGACGCACGAATGTCATTTCCACGCACGTCGATCGCGTAGCCGCGTCCGCGTTTAGGCACATCACAATTGATCCAAACTGATCCCGACGCGTCGCGATTCGCGATCAAGTACCAGCGCGAGTGCCGGCGAGCCCAAGAATCGCATCGCGGCCTCTCGCCGACATAGTCGTCACCGATGCGGGGCAACGACCCGGCGGGAGTACGGTGACGGTCTCTCCCGTAGGTCTCTGTCGTCTCTCCCGGTCTCGCGCGAGTCCACTCCACTCCGTGACACACGAAGAGAGTTGCGGCGCGTAGAATACGATCACCGCGCGGGGGAGAGTCAGAGCACGTATCTACGTACGTACGTACCGCGCACCGCGATCGAGCTGTCAAACGGCGTACTCGCGTTGCGTACTGTGTCGGCGTCCCGACGCCAGCGACGCCGGCGTCGCCGTTGCGCGCGAAACGGACCGAGGGTATAAGACCAGCGTAAGGCCGGTCGATTCGCGGAACGTCACATTCCGAGAATCTCAACGTTGAGAAAACTAAAAATCAACAGAGGCGATTTTCTTTGCATCTCTCCTTCTTTCTCTCGCATTGATACATATGGAATTGGAGTTTGTGGTCTTTTAACTATCGTTTGGGTTCCGCAAAACGTCGATTTGTTATCCGCGAAGCATCCGGAGCAAGCGTGTGCCGTTGTGAACTACAGGTGGTGCTGACGGCCGACTTAAATATCCCCTCCGCTACCCGGTCAGCCGATCACATCTCGTGTACATTCGCACGAATAGCGCGATACGTTTTTCATGTTTGGTGTTACCTCCCCCAAATACATCACCGATAAATGCATTCCCAGACGAGGTGAACGCGGCTCACGTAGCCATAAAGTGAGCGCGATTCCGCGCAACGCTTCGCTGGGACGAGCTGGTCACTGTAGTCGGAGCAAGTTTCATGACCTTCAACGTTTGTTGCTCCAAATCGGTAAGCATCACGTAGGCAGGCGAGTTCGTTCCTGTTGTTTTTTGTTTATTTTTTGGGGAGGAGTGATGGGGGGGGAGGAATGGTAAACGGCTGGCGATGCGCCCGGCGATTGTCCAATTTTTTCGAATCTCGGAGTGTAGAGCTCTCGAGAGAGACTTATGTTTTTTGTAGATATTGTAAATTGACCGAGATAATGCACACCTGTATTCGTACTTTATGAATTATTTATGGGCAGTTCTTTCTTTTTTTTGTGCCTTTTGCAGTTGACTTGTATTTTCATTAAATCACAAAAGGCATAGTTTAACCTTATAGACTTTTTAAGATTTTCGCAAGCATTGTAAGGTCTTTTTTTGGCTGGACTGTATACATTTTTGGTTAATTCAAGTGAGATGGGTATATTTTTGACATTTGGCAAAAGTAAGAGAGTCTAGTACAAAAATAGAAGATAGACCTCTTAACACAATAAAGATATCACATATGTGTGAATTGACGTTAACAACTAGAATTGATTCGGATTGTTGTCAGTGTTGACTTGCTGGTGATAGGTGATTTAAGTATCCACTATGCTGCGAAGGAAACAGCAAAGGCATCGCCCCATCGGGGAAGATACTCGAATCGCAGTGAACTTGACTATAAAAAAATTGTTGAGCAGCCCGGATCAGAAGGAGCTGGAGTTTCCATCGTCGTATACAGCAGAGGAGCGGGCGTACATCCATGAATTGGCTAGAGAGCTGGGCTTGAAGTCAAAAAGTCGAGGGTATATGATGAATAATATAATAAACATGCTACATTTCTTCTGTCTTCTCTACGATAAACTCACACTAATCCTACTTTACAGGAAAGGTACAAATCGCTTCTTGACAGTATACAAGAGAGAAGGTTCAACAATAGTTCAAGCTGATGCTGTGATAAAATTGCAAAAACATTCGAAGCAGGGTATATATAATTTAATGCAGACTTTTCCATTAAATCACAAAGAATGCCAAGACTTGCTTCCTCCAATTGAAAGAGAACGTCCTCTTAATAATGATGGTACGCAAAATTTAGACCATAGGTCAATCTCTCATTATTAATCATTTTTTTTCTATCTCATTATTTGTATTTAAAAATTATAGAACGTATTTCACACAATTATTAATCCATACTAATATAATAAATCTGATCAAGATTTTGAGAGATACTTTCACTTTTCGCAGTAAATACAAATACTAAGGCTATGGGAAGGTTAAACAACAGCATACCACAAGTTCCTCAATTAAAAACTAATTTTGATGTGCTGCAGTTCCGCAAATCTCTGCCAATTTTTAACGCGAGGGAAGAAATTCTTAGTGCATTAAACAATCATCAAGTGATCATAATAGCAGGTGAAACCGGATGTGGTAAAACCACACAGGTGCCACAATATATCTTGGAACACTATCAACAGAAGCATCAACCTTGTAGAATTATTTGCACACAGCCCAGGCGCTTGTCGGCAGTATCCGTGGCCGAGAGAGTAGCGTTTGAAAGAGATGAAAAAATCGGCCAGACTTTTGGATATCAAATAAGATTGGAAAGTAGAGTTGCTCCTAAAACTCTTCTAACATACTGCACGAATGGAGTATTGCTTAGGACTTTAATGGGCGGCGATTCCGCCTTAACTACGCTCACGCACATCATTGTTGACGAGGTTCACGAACGTGACAGATTCTGTGACTTCCTTTTGATAGCTTTGAAGGATGCATTAGTTAAATATCGTTCCTTGAAGCTGATACTTATGAGTGCCACGATGGATACTTCTATCTTTGCCAAGTATTTCAATAAGTGCGTAGTTATTAACGTTCCTGGTCGATCATACGACGTGGATGTATACTTTTTGGAAGATATTTTGAAAATGACTGGTTACATGACGAAGGAAATGCTTGTAAAGAAGAAGGAGTTTTTAAAGTGGAAAGATAAACAGAAGACTTTGGAATCTTGGAAACAATACAAACCTCAGCATTCAAATAAAAGTACCAAAAGCGAGAAGAGTTTATTGCCTGCTCCAATTTTAGCCCAGCAGAGCGATCCTATACCGGAGAAAATTAAGCTAGAACCCTGGCTGATAGAAGAAATGGACAAAAGTATTTTCGATGCATGGGTAAATGGTAGAGAGGATAATTTTGCGCAGCTTTTACATTTTATATTATCGGAAAACGTTTCTGTAGATTATCAGCATTCAGAGACTTTTATAACACCGTTGATGGCTGCCGCAGCTAGAGGTTGCATAAACACAACTGAGCAACTTCTAAATCTAGGTGCGAATCTCAATTTGAGGTCTGCTAATGATTGGACCGCGTTAGACTGGGCAAAGAGTAGGAATCATACCGAATGCGCTGAATTAATCGAAGCTTATATGAAAACTTATGATTGTGCGGTACCAAATAACGAACTAGCGCAGGTCACGGAGACGTCACTCTCTGAAGAAGATAAATTATTACTTGATATATATCATCATACATTCAATGATGATAATATCGATTATGATCTATTGTTAGAATTGGTCTTTTACATCCATTTAAAAATGCCTACCGGCTCTATTTTGATATTTTTACCGGGATACGACGACATAGTTACAATGAAAGAAAAGATAAATTCGGAAGACAAGAAGATGAATCAAGGTTTACGCTACAATTTATTTGTTCTTCACTCAAATATGCAGACTTGCGATCAGAAGAAGGTGTTTAAACCTAGTCCTCAGGGCACGCGAAAGATTATCCTTTCCACGAATATATCAGAGACTAGTATTACGATTGACGATGTCGTGTACGTCATTGATTCTGGAAAAGTTAAAGAAAAGTCTTTCGATGCCATATCAAGTGTTTGTACATTGACTTCAAACTGGATATCTCAAGCTTGTGCAAAGCAACGGAAAGGTCGAGCAGGTAGATGCAGGAGAGGAATCTGCTATCGTTTGTTCTCTTCGATCCGATACAGTAATATGCAGGCTTATCAAACACCTGAAATTCTACGATTACCGCTGCAAGAACTCTGTTTATACACGAAACATTTAACATCGGGAAATACACCTATAGCTGAATTTCTGGATAAAGCTTTGGAGCCGCCATCTAACGTAGTGACCAGGAATGCAGTACAATTATTAAAGACAATTGATGCATTAGATCCGTGGGAAGATTTAACTGAATTAGGCAGTCATTTATTAGATTTGCCAATTGAACCAAGACTCGGGAAGATGCTGTTATATGCTGTTGTCCTCAAATGTTTGGATCCCATTTTAACGATTGTTTGTAGTTTAGCATACAAGTGGGTATATATTTAAATAATAATTATAATACTTATATAAATTATTATTTACAATTGTTTTATGTATAAAACAAATTATTGCAGAGATCCTTTTATATTACCATCACAACCGTCGCAAAAGAGAGCTTTGACCGCGGCACGAAAAAAATTTGCCACCGCAACGTATTCGGATCATATGGTAGTCCTTCGAGCGTTCCAAGGCTGGCAGAACGCCAGAGCAACCGGCAAGGAACGTGCTTTTTGCGAGAAAAATTTCATCTCCGCTCCCGTAATGGAGATGGTAGTTGGAATGCGTACTCAACTTCTCGGTCAGTTGCGCGCGTCTGGCTTTGTCAGAGCCAGAAGTCCCGGGGATATTCGAGACTTAAATTCAAATTCGGAAAATTGGGCTGTCGTGAAAGCGGCTCTGACCGCGGGCTTGTATCCCAACTTAATTCGAGTTGATCGGGAGCACATGCAGCTACGGACACAGTATGTACAATTATTATATTTAAGAATTATTATATTCAAGAAGCTTGGATGTGTTGATACTGTACAACATTGTTGTTGACACTCTGTTACAGGAAAGAGGTCAAAGTATTCTTTCATCCCTCGTCAACGTTAAGAGATTATCCAAAGTCTTCGAGAATGACGTCCGCGCAAACGCATTGCACCAATGTGCAATCCTTACCGTGCGACTGGCTGCTTTATGAGGAAATGAGTCGTACAGGACGTTTCTGTCATGTGAAAATCGTTACAGCCGTAAATCCATTAACTGTAGCATTATTTAGTGGACCAGCTAGATTACCAATGGATGTAATCTACGAAGCTGAAGGTGAGCAACTTCATGCGGCATATTTTCTTTTCATAACGTAAAACATATTTGTGTGTGCACAAAAATATTGCTATTGTGTTTGCAGCTGTACCGGAAAGCGAATCGGATTCAGAGGTTGATGAATTTCATGAAGGAACTATTTTTAAACTTGATGATTGGGTGGTGTTTAAACTTGATCCTGAAGCAGCTCAACTGTTTTTACATTTGCGACAGAAGTGGAACGCCTTGTTCCTCAGACGTATGAAAGCACCAAACAAGGCAATGTCGGCATTGGATGAAAAAGTTATTAACACTTTGGTAACTGTAATCACGAATGAGGAACAAGCGTGTGGCCTCCAGCAGCCCGCTGGCATCGGCCAACGTCCGCGTCCGTTAATTGTCGATTATTACCCTGCAAATGTTAGAAGAGATGATTATTCGGAAGTAAGTCCAATATAATATTTGGTTTGTACTACTTCTGTACGTAATGTTTATTCATACAAGTATTAACGTCATCTATACATTTTTAGAGATATTTCTAAAGCAAGAAGAGGAAATGTAGTTCGTTGTGTGCAATGTATAATCTGCGTTTTTTTGGTCATTAGTTGCAATGACCAATCACTGTATCTATAATGCTGTAGCTAAATCACTTTTGTTAATAGCGAATATTTATAAAAGATATATAGCGTGGTATTTATGGATATTTATTGCATGTAGAAGTTTTTCATATAAATATTATACATTCTAATTTGCAGTATTGACAAAGACTGTTATGATATAATAAGTTTTTGAGTAATACTCATACACTTGTGATCCTCTTTGCAGAGCCTTTGTTAAAGTAACAATATGTAAGTTTTACTATAATATGTTAACTTTTATCTTTAAGATGGGATATCCTTTTCTTTAATATGAAAATAATGAAGAATAATGATAAAAGAAAGATATATATATATATATATA